CCTCTTCCCTCCACCCCCAATTTCCTCTAGGACATTTGAAATCATATATAATGCTTCCCAGGGCTGAGATTTTGTTCAAGTACCTGAAAGATAACAGATGCTGCTGTGTTCTTCATAGCAGAGAATAGTGCTATACCAGCCAAAACACTTCACTGGAACCTAACCTCAGCAGCAAAATCATTGTGGTGACTGGTAAAGGGAAATTGTACTGTAGCAGAGTTGATGGCTTTCCCCATCTGCCAGGCTCCACCAGCAAGTCCTGGCAGCAGCCCTTCCACAATCACCCAAATGTTTTTCTATTGAGAAATCCACTTACATTGAGTAAGTAAAATTTTTCCAAAAATCTTGTACTGAGAAGTGAATAAATATGAATAGAACCTAGCTCATATTATTCTGAACACATTTTTTTTCAAACTTTAAAGATTATATTCTATATAATAGAACCCTAATACGCAAATTGACCGAAGGGCGGAAGGACTGGTCGCTCTGATGCACACGGACTACCAGGGGGCAGGTGCTCAAGGCAGGACCTGTCCCTGGTGGTCAGTGCACTCCCCAGGGGAGTGTTGCTCAGCCAGAAGCCGGGCTTGCAGTGGTGGCGGGAGCCTCTCCCACCTCCATGGCAGCGCTGGAGAGCACTGAGCCTGGCTTCTGCTCACAGCTGGCAAGTGCAGCCTGGGCCAGCTGGCGGACATCCCCCAAGGGGTCCCGGACTGCGAGAGGGCGCAGGCCAAGCTGAGGGGACACCCCCACCCCCAACCCAACCCCACAGTGTATGAATGTCATGCACTGGGCCTCTAGTATTTTCATAATTATAAAAACTTACAACACCCCTGTCCTTTATTCCAGACTTTAAATATATTTTTTTATAGAATTGAAATCATTCTCTACATACAGTCTTATGTTCTGATTTTTTTCTCTAAGTTAATATTTATTTTTACTTAATATTATATGTTACATAAAACATGTATTTACAGTTTCTAAAGATAGATGGTGTTATCATTTTTACTGCTGAGGAAATGTTATACTTCAATAATATTCTTCAAAAGCGCCCTTTCTAATGCTGGTATAATGTGGCCATGCCATAATTATATCTTTTTAAGGGTACTTTTTTTGGGGATACTATTACAGAGGACATTAATCAAATTAACATCCATATTTGCAGAAAAATAAGCAAAGTTGATATGTATGTATCCATGGGGGATCCATTAGGATATGAGACCCAAGGACAAATGGGGCAGTTGAGGGATTTATATGCCATTTTGTGCTTAGGAGAAAAGGATTGTGGTTTGGGACTTCAGAGTGCAGGAAGGTAATTCACATGGAGATGGAAAAACAAAACTGTCCCTCCTCCATCTCCCTATCTCCCAAACACACACACACACACACAACCACCCACAACAAGGTAGTTGAATATACTACTTGACTGCATTGGTGCCACTGCCTTGATTCAAGTGAAGGCATAGTTTTACCCTCAACTGCTTTGTATCACATATTACAAATGTTGACAGCTTTGTATTATCATAAAAGTATTTTTGACCATACAGACCCTGTGAAATTATGTGTGTTTGTCTCCTAGAGTCCATAAACTCCTTATCTTAAGAACTGATGTTATACTATTAATTCTTCTTTTATTTTTGTTGAGAATACAGTTGGGAAAGAAAGGAATTTTATGCTGCTAATGTTTTCATTTTCATCTCTTGTTGTTTGTTGATTTCCTGAAGATAGCCATTCTGACAAGTGTGAAGTAATAGCTCATTGTGGTTTTAATTTGCACTTTTCTAATGATTAGTGACCTTGAGCATTGCTTTATATGTCTGCTAGAGGCCGGTGCATGAAATTCGTGCAAGGTAGGGTTCTAGGGCTGGCCAGCGATCAGGGCTGATCTATGGGGTAACCGGAAGGATTATTGGGGGGTCTTCTGCCTTGGCCAGCCTGGCACCACCCGCTTGCTGGCCCTGCCCGACCAGAGAAGCGATTGGGGAGTCCCCCTGGCACCCACCTTAGTTGGCTTAGGGCCTGCAGGCTAGGGGTAGCTCCTGCTTTGAGCATCTGCTCCATGGTGTCATAGTGACCTGTCGTTCTGCCATCGTTCTACTGGTTCCACCCTTTGGTCGATTTGCATATTAGGCTTTTATTATATAGGGTTTGCCATTTGTATGTCCTCTTTGGAGAAGTGTCTGTTCAGGTCCTCTGCCCGTTTCTTAATTGCATTTTTTTTTTCTTTTTTGTCTTGAGTTGTCTGAGTTCTTTATAAATTTTGGAACCTCTTATTGGATCTATCATTTTCCATTCTGTAGGTTTTTTTTTAGTTTTGATGCAAAAGCTTTTTAGTTTGTTGTAATCCCATTTGTTTATATTTTCATTCCCCTTGCCTGATGATATATATAAAAAAACTATTACTAAGAAAAATGTTTTCTTCTAGGAGTTTTATGGTTTTAGGTATAATGTTTAAATCTTTAATCCATTTTAAGTTTAGTCTCTTTTTAGAAAATGTGTTTTTATTGATTTCTAAAGAGAGAGAAAGAGGGGGAGGGATGGAGAATTAGAAATATTAATTAGAGAGAAACATCATCAAATGGCTGCCTCCTGCATTCCCCCTACTGGAGATTGAGCCTGAAATCCAGGCATGTGCCCTGTCCAGGATTGAACCAATGACCTTTTGATTGCTGGTTTGACACTCAACCACTGTGCCACACTGGCTGGAGTATTTTGAGTTTATTCTAGTATTTGGCATAAGAATGTGGTCTAGTTTTTTTTTTTGTTTGTTTGTTTTTTTTGGGGGCATTTATCCAGTTTTCTCAAAGGGTTTATAATTTATTATTATTATTATTTTAATATATTTTATTGATTTTTCACAGAGAGGAAGAGAGAGGGATAGAGAGTTAGAAACATCGATGAGAGAGAATCATCCATCAGCTGCCTCTTGCACACCCCCTACTGGGGATGTGCCCGCAACCAAGGTACATGCCCTTGACCGGAATCGAACCTGGGACCTTTCAGTCCTCAAGCGGACGCTCTATCCACTGAGCCAAAGCGGTTTCGGCTCAAAGGGTTTATAATTTAAATTCAGGTCTCTGGACTGACAGTTCCCTGTACTTGGTGTTGCACAGTGTTGCTGCTGTGCTTTTTTAAATGTATGGTATTACATACTTACTGTGTTCAGTGCATACTCTAGCGTGGGGAGCACCCAAACAGAAGACAGATGATCTTCTGTTTGGGTGCTTCTGAGTACAGCGTTATCTTTGGAGGATGGCTGTAGACCTGGGTCCTCTACCAGCTCAGTGTTGAGAGGATTTGAGGACAAGCTCAATTTACATAGGCTATCAAAGGTCCTGTCTTGCTGTAGCCCTGGCTCTCTGTCCATTGTTAGGAATTGTCCTTTTTCTACTACTTCTTTTTCATTATTGCTAGGCTTTTAGGAATTAAATGCTATTTCTTCCATCCCTAAAAATATTTTGACAACTCTTCACATTAACTTATGACTAACTAAAGGGATAAGGACATCATCTGTAGCATGTATTTTAATCTTTTATATTATAATAAAGTAAGTGATAGGATGAATTTATTTTATGTCAGTGGTAGCAACAGCTACTCAAACTTGGATTTCTTTTCTGTTAGATCCATTTTTAGTACATATGTGGGAGATATTGGCCTATAGGCTATAGGTTTAATATTATTTCAAATTCCTGATTAACTTTTCACTCCTATCTTTCATTTTTCAAATCTTAGTCTTTGTAGTAAGTATTCTAATATTATTGTAGGGAAACCGAGGTGGACGCAGTTTATGTTTCGGGTAAGATTACTGCATTGCACATCCAGATAGGCAAAGGTTGCTACCTTTTGTTGTGTTTTCAAACCACTGTCCCTGCCTGATTACTAAGCATTTTCCGTTGTAAGCAATTAGCAATAATAATAATACCACCAACATGGAAGCAGGAATGCTCCTTAGTTAACTTCTTTAGAGTTATTTTCAGCCTCATGAGCCCTTCTTATTTTTTTCATCTGAGCAAATCTCTTTTGACTTTTTCTAAAATAGGTAAGTCAACAATTCCAGGGCTGGTGCACATTAATTCATAGGAACACCCATGCTTGAGAATTGATGACATTGTCCACAATATTTATTCTTAAGCCTGTGTAAGCTACTGGTGAGGAATTTTAGAGTGTGCCACGGCTCGAGACACTACATACCGGGCAGAGCTATGGCTGCTCCCACCTGCTCTGATATCCCGTCCTCTGCTATTGGCCTGAAGAATTTTTTTTCTCTTAACCTGTTAGGTCTTTCTGTATTTTTCTCCCTTGTATAACATTTTTCTAAAATGGTATTCTCATGGAGTGTATTTCTGTCCCTTTTATGTTAACAGATGCACATACTTAAGAAATTTGACCCTCTGGGGACATCATACTGAACAAATAAGTTTTGACATGGCGATTGTCTTTTATATCCATGTAATGGCAGTATATTGCTTGGAATATGATAGATGCTCTGCAGATGTTATTGTCATGAATTCTTAAGCCCAAAAGTTAATTAAATGAAGTCCTCTAATTAATAAATTTATATATAACCATGCGCTATGTTAGGTGAGGAAATTAAAAATATTGGTAAGCCAGCTATTGGGATAGCAGATGCCTGTACTGCCTGGAGATTATCTCACACATATAAACTCTTACCGTGGGAGGTGTTCTGGTAGCAGTAGAATTACGGAAGTAGTGTAGTCGAAAGGAGGGAACTGAACAGGTTAGTTATTCCTGGCATGGAAGAAGCTGTTGTCAAAAGGAGGGTGGTTGTCTGGCCATCATATCTGATCTAGTCCTTGAAGATGAAGAGGATGAAAAGGAAACTTTTGTTCCTCTTCTCTCCAAATCTATTTGAAAGATAAAATAGGTTTCTTGTCTGACATTAATATCACAGACACTTTGGAATGTTTGCTTCTTTTATAACCAGATCTGTTTTTCCCTGAGTCTCATACTCACTGTGTTTTCATGCCCTGTTTCTTAAGAATTACCTGAGGTCCCATTAATTGAGGAGGAAGTGGAAGAAACGGAGTCTTGGGCAAAGCCTCTGGTCCACCTTTGGCAGACAAAAGCTCCCAACTTTGTGGCTGAGCAGGAGTATAATGCAGCCCTGGGCAGAATGGAGCCGCACTGTGCCATCTGTGCCCTCCTCATGCCCTACTACAAGGTAATGAGGCTGGCGGGGTCATTGTCAAGGTTCCTATCACTGATGCACTCTTTCTGTGACTGTGAAAGCACAGTGAATCATTGTAAGGTAAGTGTGCATATGAAAAGGAAGACATTCATCTTTATGTAGCTATTGGCCATCATAGAGCCCCAACCAGAATTTTTTAGTGCTACTTGAGAGACATTCCCCTGACAGCAAGTTATCACTTTTGAATAAATGATTGGTTTACTTGTTGGTCTTGGTTTATTTCATTCAGGGGGCAGTTTCAAACTTTCTTTCTACCACTTTCACCAAGAAACACAGACCTTAAAGTTTAACAAGAGAGATCTTAGACCTAGTCTCTGTTTTATGCTTGAAAATATCACTCTCAATAATATAAATGTTAGCTCTGGGACCACATTTAAGTGTCTCTTTATCTTCCCATGGAAAAGACACCACAGGATTAAATTCAAACTGAATTGTCCAGTGTACGCTCATCAGCCAGCTGTGCATGATGCCAGCTATGCATGATGTTTTCAATATCATTTCATATCCGTTATACTGATGGCATTTTGCTCCCTGAGGACCACATTCTCCAGCTTTAACAGCGACAGAATGATCTCTAGGAATCTAGTAAGGGTGATGGAACTACATGATCTATTTTAAGGTACAATAAAGTGTATTGATGTGAACATTGTGTTCTGGGTTATATTTCCACTAATTGAATCAGAAATATTCTCCTCAAGATCCATGTAAAGTAAATGCTTTTCTGTTTAGATGTTTCAGGGCATGAAATTGTGTGAAATTTCACCTTTTCAAACCTTTGTAAATAGGAAGTGTAGGTACTTGCTCACCTTTGAATGTGGCCCTGGTGAGGGACAAACACTTGTTTTCCTTTTAAGTCACTAAATTTCTGTTTTCTTGGGAAAACAATCTTTTATTGATTCTTATTTATATATCATAATCTGCCTGTATATTTCCCCAATAATTAAAACATTCCCACAGAAATTATAAGATTTAGGGAAATTAATATCACATCTCTGTAGATAATTAGAGTTATTAGAGTTTCAAATAAACAGTAAACATTCTCCATATATTTTTATAAGAGGTAACAATTTTGTTTTGCACATATTTTTTATTTAATGGCAGTTGCCAGATCTTTCTGTCTTGATGTTTTCAAACTTTGTGGAAAGGCAGAAGCCTTCAAAATCTCTCTCAATACTTTTGCACAGACTTACGCTTAGGTCTTTATAACACTTCTGTTAGGTGTAACTGGGTAAGATTATTCAGTAAATGAAACCAGTTCTGTTAACCAAATGCAAATAAAAAAAAATCATTAGAAAAACTGATGCTTTACATAAACTATTTATGTAAGAACATAGTTTTAGTACTTTCTTGTACAAGCAAATGCACAGAGTATCTTCTTGTTCCTAATAGCTTAGCACCTGATGGGAGCCTGGGGCAGACCATTAGGAAAAAGCTAGTAGTTGGGTCAAGGAGAACAAGAAGAACAGGAGCTGAAAGTGGATGGAACAGCTGTTAGTAGATATGAGTAGCAGAATTGAAGAGTTCATTTCCATATTTTTCACTTATGTGGAAATATTGTGTTTTTCAGCCAGATAGCAGCAATGAAGAAAATGATTCTAAATGGGAGACAAAATTAGATGACATGGTTGCTCCGGGAGGAAAGACTAAGCCCCTCATTCCAGAGATGTGTTTTATTTATAGCGAAGAAAATATAGACTATTCGCCACCTAATGCCTTCCTAGAAGAGGATGGAACAAGCCTTCTAATTTCCTGTGCAAAGTGCTGCGTACGGGTTCATGCAAGTAAATGAATCTCACATTCATCTATCATTGGCTTTTTAGTGCTTCACAATCTTTATTTTTTACTCCTATGTAACCTGCCAGATCTTTGGCATTGAACTATTAGATCATTTTTTTCTCACGTTGTAAAAAATGAAAGTATGAGTAGGTATAATCATTCTTTTTTCTCCAGTTTTATACAATACAGATCACATGGTTTCTCTTTGTCAGAGTAGTATGAATGGTTTATAATATAATATACACTGTATTTAATTCAGTGTAATGCGAATCTTACATTAGGTTTGAGGTAGTCTTACTGTCTGTCATGTATTTATTAATCAGATACTATTAGCTTTCCCAAAGTATTTGAACATAATCTGATTTAAATACAATTGTAGCAACCTTCTTATTGTATTTATATAAATTCATAACACATATTCACACACAGACTCACCCTACATTATTATATGCATATATTGTTATATCAGAGGCAAAGCATCATTTAACAAAAAAGCTAGGATTTTAATCTTGGTTTCTGAATATACTAGTTATGCAGTTTAACCATAATATTTTATGTGCTTGAACTAAACATTGTATGGTTTTGTTTAACTATGATAGGTTTTTCTTTGGGTATTACACTTCTGTTATTTTCTCTTACTATCTCAAATGTTATAGAAATGTGGTATTAAAAATTACTTATTTAAATCTTTGAAAATCTTATTTCAAGAAGTCAGATTAACATATTTGTTGGTTCTGCATAATTGCTGTTTGTATTGGCATCATCAGCTATCTCCTTACATAGTTTTTTTTTTGAGTCAGGCATATACAGAATACATGTGGAATTGAACACATCCCTTTATCACTAAACACGAATTGTGTATCCTCTGTCTCTATCAGTGAAATTAAAGCTAGTTAAACATAATGTTTGAAATGTAATTTTAAATTACATTATTTTCAAATATTATCAAAGTTTTTATTTTATTTTAAAACTTCTCCAAGCTTTGTTTTCTGAATTGCAACTTATTTTGAAATATGTTTTGCATGAGTAAAGGAGTATACAAGAAACTTTGAAATTTTATTATTGCCCATTCAGGAATTATCAGTATTTTCTACAATAATTATTGTGATCATTAATTACTATAAATGCCCACACTCATATTTCTTGTAACTGATATCCATGAGATCCCAAAGTATCTTTGTTTTGTTCTAAGCAAAAACTGTAGGGTAGGTAGTGTCTTTTATTTAATCAGTGCTAACATATGAAATATTGTCACAATGCAAAATAACTAATTTTTTAATCCATATTAATATTTTATAGGTTGTTATGGTATCCCTTCTCATGAAATCTCTGATGGATGGTTATGTGTCCGGTGCAAAAGAAATGCATGGACAGCAGTAAGTAGCTTATATTAATATCTCTTAGCTCTTTTCACTTCCTCCACTGTGGACACATATATATCTAGTGGTAAGGTAAGATTGTGCACATGCTTTTGTGTACAATTCTACACTTACTATATTTCTAGTCTTTTCTTTCTATGTCATCCATGTGTTGTTTATAGTCATTGTAGAAATATTAAAGTTTTAGGTGTAACTTATCTCTGGAACCTACAGAGATTGCCAGTTTATCAGAGCAGGTCCAAAATATTGTCCTATTTTTGCAATTTTTGAAAATAATTATTCAAGGTGGGATCTTCTCTGAGGAAACCACACTAATACCTAACTCTTCAACTAGCCTGAGGACTTCCTCATTTATTTTTTCTTATATTCATACTTTTAGAGTTCTACTCTTTTTGAGTTCTACTCTTGTCCCAGGCATTTGCTGTGAGCTTGAGATAGAATCTTTAGCAACAAATGATCCTTTACGTGGTCACAAATTCCTCTTCATGGAAATTGTTTTTATGGAAGCCCTGTTGAAACTTTAGCTTATATCCTAGCATTGAGCCCTGTTTCATTAATCCAGTATGCCACTCATTTTGCCATTTAATTATGTGCTATCCAAATTTTTCATAAAATCTTTTTATCCCTACATTAAAAACTTTTTAAAATCTGGGTATTTCTGTAAAATACAGAATACCATTTTAGGGATATACTTCTAATTATGAAGGAAGATGTTAGTTAAATGTATAAATACTCCTAAAAATTAATAACCCATATGCTTAATACTATGTAGAGTATTTAAAAATAAGAGGATTTTTTATAATATCTTCTGAAGAATTTATAGTATAGAATTCTAGATAGTAAATAAATATAAATAGATTTAAGATTGATTTTTATTTTTTTTTTACTTATTTTAATTTAGGGATAATGTAGCTCATTAGGAATAATGTAGTTTCTTTCCAGATATGCAGTTCTTTCTTTAGGGACCTTTGGTGTAGGGGTCTGTGAGATTTTGTGTTATTGCCATAGATGGGAGTGAAAACTGAATGTACAGATCAGATATGTGTCATGGGAAATCACATCATACACAGATTTAAGACTGTGACAAATCATGAGTTGCCAGTTTTCTTTTTTTCTTTTTGATTTTTTAAAAAAACTTAAAAAATTATTTTTATTAATTTCAGAGAGGAAAGGAGAGAGAAAGAGATAGAGATAGAAGCATCAATGATGAAAGAGAATCATTGATCAGCTGCCTCCTGCACACCCCCGACTGAGGATCGAGCCCACAACCCGAGCATGTGCCCTGACTGGGAATCTAACCATGACCTCCTGGTTCATAGGTTGACACTCAACCACTAAGCCACACTGGCTGGGCACAAAAAATTGATTTTAATAATTTTATATTATTTTTTAATTAATTAATTGATTAATTTTTTTAAAAAAATAAATCTTTATTGTTCATATTATTACACATGTTCCTCATTTTTCTTTCCCTTCCATTGCTCCCCTCCACCAGGTTCCCACCCCACCCTCTGCCCTTTCCCCACCCTCCATTGTCCTCATCCATAGGTGCATAGTTTTTGTTCAGGCTCTTCCCGCACCCCCAACTCCCCTGTTCCCTGAGAATCGTCAGTCCAGTGCCCTTCCATACCTCTGATTCTATTATATTCACCAGTTAATATTGTTCATCAGGTTTTTTAATTCCCTTGGCTTTTAGTTTCACTTATTGATAGTTACGTATTTGTTGATCATAATTTTTATCTATATCTTCTTCCTCTTCCTAAAGAACCCCTTTCAGCAATTCATATAATTCTGGTTTGGTGTTGATGAACTCCTTTAGCTTTTTTTTATTTGTGAAGCTCTTTATCTGGCCTTTGATTCTGAGTGATAGCTTTGCTGGGTAGAGTATTTTTGGCTATAGGTTCTTGCTGTTCATCACCTTGAATATTTCCTGCCATTCCCGTCTGGCCTGCATGGTTTCTGTTGAGAAATCAGCTGACAATCGTATGGGTGCTCCTTTATAGGTAACTGCCTGCTTTTCTCTTGCTGCTTTTAATATTCTCTCTTTGTCTTTTGCTCTTGGCATTTTAATTATGATGTGTCTTGGTATGGTCCTCTTTGGATTCCTTTTGTTTGGGGTTCTGTGCACTTCCTGGACTTGTAAGTCTTAATTCTTTCCCCAGGTGGGGGAAGTTTTCTGTCACTATTTCTTCCAGTATGTTTTCGGTATTTTGCTCTCTCTCATCTTCTGGGACCCCCATAATTCTGATGTTGGTTCATTTGAAATTGTCCCAGAGGTTTCTTACACTATCTTCAACTTTCTGGATTCTCTTATCTTCTTGCTTCTGTGGAAGAGTGTCCTCTGGCTCTTTGTGTTCCATATCTTTGACTTGATTCTTGCGATCTTTCAGTCTGTTTTTAGGACTCTGTATAATATTTTTTATTTCAGACAATGTATTCTTTATTTCTAGTTGATCCCTTTTCATATCCTCATAGGTCTCATTTATTTTATTAGCCTTTTCTAGGAATTTCTTGAAAAACCTTATAAGCGTAGTTTTGAACTCTATATCCAGTCACTTCTTTTCCTCCGTTTCTTTTGTTTGTGATCTGTTTCCTTGTCTCGGCATTTTCACAGCTTCCCTGAGTTGGTAGAGTGGCTTTGTGTGCTAAGATGTCCTATAAGGTTCAGTGGGTCAGCCTCCCAATTACCTGAGGTGGATAGTCTTGGTGTAGCCCTTTGTGGGCTGTGTGTACAGTCTTGTTGTTAAGCCTTGCTTGTTGTTGGTATCACTGGGAAGTATTTATCTCCAAGCCAATTGGCTATGAGGATCAGAAGTGTCTCAGCTAGGAGGGTTTCTGTATTCTGCTTGGATGGGGTGGAGTCTCATGGTGGCACAGCCAAGCTTTGGTGAATCCTGCAAGATTGGTTGCAAGCACACGCACCTCTTTGGTATAGGCGCAGAGAAGCTTTGGATTCCTGTCTGTTTCTCCCTAAGAGAGTCCTATTCGCAGCAAATGAGAAAGCTAGCCACTGGAAGGGCTTCTGTGCTCCGCTTGGTGGGGTGGAGTCTCAGGGTAGTGCAGACAAGCTTTATTCAGCCCCTCCCTACGAGGGTCTGGTTTCTGAGTCCCACAGTAATGGCCGCTGTCTTCACACACCTCCGAGAGATCTCTGCCCACTGCCTGACAGTCTGGCCTCTCCCAGACTGGGGCCATCTATCACAGCAATAGGGTGGTTCTGTTTTCCTCCTGAACAAGAAAGCTAGCCACGCATTAGCTGTCCGCCCTCTCTGTGCGCAGGGAGTAAGCCAGCAGCGAAGTCGGGCGGCTGCCTTTTCCCGCACACAGTTCATCACACCTTCACAGTTCCTGAGTTTCAGGGCGCCTTCTCTCTCCTTCCCAGATGGTAGAGCCTCCTCTTAGCTAGCCATCTGGCGCTTCAGGGCGATGTTTCCCCTGTTTTCCAGTTCTAAATTAAAATTTGTTGTGGTAGGCTGCATTCAGGTGTCTGCCCTATGCCGCCATCTTGGTTTCTCCAGTCGAGTTGCCAGTTTTCTGTACATGGCAGCATTAAGCCTGTGCTGAAGTTATTCATTGTCAGTGTGAAGAATTCCAAATAAAGTTACCATTTGTTCTGTGTCTTACTAGGGAGCTCTTTTATTACCTTAAATAATTCTTTGGTGATGGGCAAGGCAGATACATTAGATCACATATCTATAATCTAAACAGAATCTAAATTAAAGGAATATTTAAAAGTAACTTAATGTGAAGATTTGACTAAAAATGTATAGCTAAGGCCTGTTTTGGTCCTAAAATGCTTTGATTATGTGTTGCTTTGTATTTCCATTTTTCTTTAGTTTTACTTAAGAATTGGAGACCTTCAAGGAAACGAAACTTATTTATGTGCTTCTTAACCTAGAGATAATGAATAACAGAAATGTATAGGAATAGAATGCTGATAATTATTGGTAAAATTAATGTAGTTTTTATGAGCTAAAGGAAACTTTCATTGATTTAAAAAAAAACAAAACAATGACCTAAGAGCCTTACTATATTTTTATCTACCTGCTGTTTGGGAATGTACAGCAATAGGCACTATCCTTGAAATTTCTTTTTATTTCAATACTAGTGGCCTGGTGCACGAAATGTGTGCACATTAAAAGGGAATTAATTAGAGGAAATATTGTAATATTGCTATTTGCCCTTTCTCTATAATACAGGCGTCCTCAAACTTTTTAAAGTGGGGGCCAGATCACGGTCCCTCAGAGAGCTGGAGGGCCGGACTATATGAACTACTAATTCCTACTGTAACACCTCGGCTGCGCTCACTGCCCAAAAAACCTGGCGGGCCGGATCAGACTCCTCTGCGGGCCGCATGTGGCCCACGGGCTGTAGTTTGAAGACGCCTGCTATAATAGAAGTGTCATAGATGAAAGACAATTAGTAAAATGTATATGAAAATCTCCCTTCTGTCAGAGTCTGAGGCATGCCTCTGGACCTAGAGTCAAGTCCCTTCCCACCACTTGTGCGCACTTTGAAAATGCAGGAGACCTAGACCTGGCTGCCCTACCCACATTGGGTGAGACCCAAACCTGGCCGGCCCCACCCCTGATAAGCCCCTGTGGGAGGGGCCGCAGCCTCAGGTCTCCCGGCTCAGCTTTGGGGCAGAGCCATGGCCTGAGGTCCCCTGTCAAGCCCCACCAGGCACGGGGCGCGGCCTGTGGTTCCCCATCAAGTCCTGCGGACCGGACGGGGGCATAGCCTGAGGCCCCTCGCCCTGGCCAGGAGCCGTGAAGCCTCAGGTTTCTGCTATTTGGCTGCGAAGTTACCTGGCTAATTTGCATATTCCTCTTTTATATAAATAGATATCCTATTTCACTTGCTTAAGGGAATTTGTTTGAATATTTTCACTTGAAAGTAATACAATATTAATAACATGGAACTATATATTATATTCTTGGATGACTATTGCCATGCTATGAGAAAGTAAATTTTGTAATGAAAAACTTAAGAAAACA